TCTCAAGACTTTTTGTTCTTGTTCTTGGCAGTGCATTCAACAGGCAAACCCTGAGAGAACCGTTTCTTATCCTTACAATAATTATAAACCATGAACTTCCTCTGAACCCATCTAAGAACCTTCTGGCTCGAAGAATCCATCCCTCTTTGCGAAAACCACTCGTTAGTACTGCTCGAAGAAGAAGTAGACGAGCCACCGGGGCTACAAGGAGTAGTATTCGTGGTTCCTTTATCAATGGACCAAACACAAGCATTGTCAGAGTTGTAGTTCATGAAAGAGGCTATGAATGGTCCTTGTGACCAGTTTGTCTTGACCAAGCCTCCCCTCGTGGCCCAATCATCTGCGTTCCACAGACTACCATACATTCTCATGGGTTGGCTCTTTGGATAAGCCACACTCATTGCTTCCAAATTCTTGAATTCTCTAATTGGCTTCCCATCAACATAAAACCTATATAGAAATTCAATACGTAAGAAATTGTTCAATGAGATATCACTACAAAAATATAAGGGAATTAGAATCGATATTTTGTATGAAAGTCTATAAAATTAAACAAATCGACTGGAAATATATTGAAGTTTTAATCTAAGAAGTATATTTTATATGTTTAGCTTCTTTTTTTTTTCTTTCTAAGTTCTGGATTTAGAGTTTATACGATCCAACCACCTGATTCGGTGATCCGAAAATGGATCCGGCTCGATTTCTTAAAACAGTTAAAATTGTAGTTGAGAACTACTTGGTGAACATATCAAGTTACCATTTGGATTGTGGTATATTTACTTACAATATGTGACTCGGATTCCATAGAATAGAATAGTTGTGGAACTCAGCTGTTGGATCGAACCAAAGGTAGAATTGTTGCTCTCTATCACCTTTGCCTTGAGTGTAAACATTAGTGTGAAGTATGTATGGATCTCCACTTACATTCCCTAAGAACTCAAAATCGATCTCGTCCCATGTTAATCCTTGAGACTTCAACTACACACCCCAAAAAATAAAACCATTAAAAATCTTATCATTCAATGTAACATAAGCTAGATTTATATATGTGTGTAGCTAATTAAGAACTTACGTAGAAGGTGGTTACGGTCCCGGCAGAGTTTCCCGGGACAAGTTTGATCTGCATATTGACTTTTCCGTACAAATACTCGTCTTTCGATTGAAACCCTGAGCCCGAAGATTGATCAAGAGCAAGGTTTAGAAGAGTACCATTGTTCAAAATGTTTCCTCTGCCCTCACCCCATGTTATGTCAATGTCTTGGTTAAAGTCTTTAGCTTGTGCCACAAAAAATATGTTTAAACCAACAAAAAGAGATATTGACATAACCAAAAGTGTCTGCGAAACCATTTTTAAGTTTGCAAATTTTGTGAAGTCTTTTCTTGAAGGTTTTTGGTGGTTTAAGGGGTTGAGTTTGAGACACTCAGAGGACAGTTGATTGGTGGGTATTTATAGAGCATATATAATACTGAAGTTTTGATTCCTTAATGAATAATTCTTATTTTTTTCAGTCTTTAAATTTACTTTCATTTTCTTAAAGAACAAAAAGTGAGTTTAGTGTAGGTAATGTGAGAAGTGAACAGCCTGGAGAGCATAAACCAAACCTAGAGTGCTATACATCTCAAACAATAAAATTCTTTTTGTTAATTAATGTGTTACATCCTAATCATTAGGCAGCCTAAATTAAACATTGCACCTTCTTTTTGGACGGTACCACTTCATCATAAATTATTGAGAACAAATGAACAAATGGACAATAAACACTCTCTAAATAATGCACTAACACGATTTTAACATCCAAAATCTTCCAACAAATACCATCACAAATCATTAATTCATGTACAAAAAAACAATACTTAAGTGTATGATTTTGATGCTCAGCATATTTCGGTTCTCATGGTTTAACGTATTCTCTGATGAACTCTTGAACCTGATCTGTATCTCCTGTTAGTCCAGACGCTTCGGCGACTGTGACTTTGTTGTAGCAATGCAAAAAGGAAAACAGTTCTCCTTCAATCCCGAGTGTGAAGTCATTGGCTATATCAGCTGATGATACCGCGCTCCTTGAAACCCGAAGTTTCTCTCTGCAAAAAAAAATACACATTAAGAACATCAACAAGAGCTTAAACCTCAGGATTTTGAACAGATAAGTATCAATCTTACATTTCTTTCTCCATCTGCTTGCGGATGAACTCTTTGGTGTGTGCAGTTACTTTATCTGTCTTGTTACAACAAAGCAGGACAGGGATCTTATTCTTAACGACGCTCGTGTTGGTCAGAATGTCATAAAGGTACCTGGAGAAGCACAAAACCATAATAAGTGTTCATTCTCTAAGAGTCACCTTATGCCTAAGCAAATCATCTCTTATGTGGTAATTAATTACTCTGAAGCAGCGCGGCAATTCGGGAGAAACTCCAGTGCATCTACTACAAAGACAATAGCGGCTGCTCGAGGCAAGTATTCTTCTAGCTTAGATCTGAGCCGAGAGTGCCCAGGAACATCAACAAGATGAACAGGCTTTGTCTTTCCTTTCTGTTAAACACATAGGCAATGTGTGGTTAGTCCATTAAACACTTTAGATTCTTGAACAAACCAACCATGAAGATCTTTCTTTACCTTAATGTTCTCAGTATGGAGCACAAAGGTGCCTTCGTTTGGTTCCATTGAGGTTACAGCACCCTGGTGTGTAGATCCATCTCGCAGCTGTCACAAATATAAAATGTAAATCAAACCATCTTATAATGTCACAACAATCACCTACTTGTTTCATACAGCAGCTTTTTACGATAACTAGAATACATTTGTAGGAAGGTCGAAAACATTCTTCGAATGAGAAAAGCAACATCAACCCCTAAATACTCACTTGATAGAAGAGCACGGTTTTGCCACTTCCGCTTAGACCAGAGAGGAGTACAGTATTGGATTTCGTACGTCTGAACAAGCGAACTACAGAATCGGCACATTAACAACCAAAAAAATAGAGCAAATTAGAATAACAGTTCTAAACCAAGAACATACAAACAACTTTACACTCAATGGAGCTGACACTCTAAGATTAATCACAAGTCTAAACCGGTACCTTACTAACACCAAACTCCTCAAACGCAGTTAAAAGTATAGCATTTATGAACTAATGAAAACAAATAAAAATATATCCAAAATCAATGCCATTTTCCACCAGAGAGATTCCGATCCTAATATAAATCTATAAACAACTTAGGTAAAGACCAATGAGAAGAAGACTGTGAAGCCTACTACACTTACTAGATACGAGCAAGATTGTGGTTAATAAGAGAACACCAATAGCAGCATAAAGCTGAGTCGGTGGTATCTGTTGAAAAAATTCAACTCCTTGATGAAACCATTGCTCCGCCAGAATTTTCAAATCTTCCAAGTTATCCATTTCGTTTTATTTCCTCGGGTTTCGCTTCCCCTGCCTGCAAAACATAACAATCACCACAATTAAGCTCGAACGAAACACATAATTATGTCAACAACAGATCAATCAAATCTCAAGATAGAAGCAAAACAATGTTATCATCAATAAACAAAGCAACTCAACACCTACAAAGACAAGACTCAGCTTCTTTCAGGCATTTTAACGAACAGTTCTTGTGCAATCTATAAAGCCTTCCTCGCAAGAACAACACATTGTCCACCTCTCTTGTATATGACAAGAGCTCAATTCCATTGAATTTTCAACACATATTCGCGACAAAGTTCAACAATTCACCGATCAACTAAAAAAAGGCACAAAATTTTTTTTTTCCAACACTGGTTTTCTTGATTGACGGAGAATTCTCTAAGGTAATCCAGATCGGAAAAAGAAAACCCAGAAGAATTTAACAAACCCTGATCACGAAAACGAATGCAACGCAAAAAAGAGTAGGAGTCATAAAACCCAGATCCAGAAAAACAATGAGAATTTAGAGAAGATGCCGGAAAAAAAAGGAACGGAATTGAGATAGTACTCACTGCTGAGAAGAAATACGGCAGCAGCCGAAGATGGGCGCGACGGAGATGGTGG